AGCTAAAGATCATCGTGTGTCTTTTACTTCAAAATTTTATTTTGCTTCACAACCTTTTTATTTAATCCTTAGTGATGTTTGAGGTCCTTCAAAAATTAAAACTATGTCTGAAAAAAAATGGTTTGTGACATTTATTGATGGCCATACACGTGTGTGTTGGGTTTATCTCTTGGAAAAAATATGAAGTGGAACAAAGATTTAAAGATTCTTTTTTCAAATTACTGAAAATCAATTTCAAAATAAGATTGACATTCTAAGGTCTGACAATGGCGTTGAATATTCCAACAAATATCTAAGTACATTCTTAGTAACCAAGGGGGTAATTCATCAATCCACTTGTAGTGATACTCAATAACAAAACAGTATTGCTGAAAGAAAAAAAATAGACATCTCTTCGAAGTTACTAGAGCTATTATGTTTTCTATGAATGTACCTAAATATCTTTGGATAAATGTCTTATTAACTGCTTGTTACCATATCAATAAAATGTCATCTCGTGTTTTAAACTATGGGACTACTGTGCAAGTTTTACAAAATTATTTTTCCATGTCTCGCATCATTGCGGATCTTCCCCTTAAAGTTTTTGGTTGTCTCTGTTATGTCTACATCCCAAATATTTTTCATTCCAAATTGGATCGTAAAGCTGAAAAATGTGTTTTTTTGCTATACTTCAAATAAAAGGGGTACAAATGTTTTAACCCAATAAGAAATTTTTTTTTTGAAAGTATGGATGTCAACTTTGTTGAAAACCAACCTTTTTTAATAAACATTATCTTCGGGGGGAGACTCATTATACTAATAACGAAGACAATTTTTTGGGAAATTTTACCTGCACTAGATGATATTGTGACTACAAATCATCCAAATGCAAAAATAATGGAACCTAGAATGCTTAATCTTGAATTGTAGGATAATACAGTGTCTGAAACATGGGGATAAACACTAGTTGAGGATCATGATCCTCAAATTAAAGTGTATGTGCGAAAAAGGTTTTATAAAGGTATTATAGAACCAATTGTCTCTCCGGTAGAAATCTAATCTGATTCACCAAGTGAAAGTCATAAATTTTTTTTACCTTCTAGTCCTTTATTTGGTAATCCATCTTGCCTTTCCAATGATTTTCCAGATTTATATTTTCCTTATATTAATCTTCCAATTGCTTTGAGGAAAAAAATTCTTGACCTCCATATCCCAATTTATGATAGGAAACATACTCGAACATGCACTAAGCACCCCATGTCTAATTACTTGTCATTTGACAAGTTATCACACAATCACAAGGCATATATGTCTAGGAATTCGAGTTTTTTTGTGCCCATAACTATTCAAGAAGCATTAAGTGATTCAAATTGGAAATTGATAGTGAAAGAAGAGATGGATGCTCCGAGGAAAAATAATACTTGGAGTATCAATGATCTACCTCATGAAAAAAGGGAAGTTGGATGTAAATGGGTTTTTACAGTGAAGTGCAAGGTTGATGGAAATGTGGAAAGGTACAAATCAAGGCTAGTAGCAAAAGGTTTTACTCAAACTCATGATATAGACTACCAAAAGACTTTTGCCCCAATTGCTAAAATTAATTCCATACGAACTCTTCTCTCGGTTGTAGCAAATTTCAATTGGACACTACATCAATTTGATGTTAAAAATGATTTTTTGAATGGAGAATTACATGAAAAAGTATATATGAGCTTACCTAGTGGATTTTAAGAAAATCTTGGAAGTATATATGTGTGGATTGAAAAAGTCCTTATATGGATTAAAAAAATCATCAAGGGTTGGTTTGAAAGATTTGGAATTATTGTCAAGAAACATGGTTTCACCCAAAGTCAAGCAGATCACACATTGTTCTTTAAAGATTCACATGTGGCAAGATTTCTATTTTAATAGTGTATGTCGATGACTTTATCATGACAGGATATGATGTTAATGAGATAAGTAATCTAAAGAGAAGACTTGAAGCCAAATTTGATATCAAAGACCTTAGAAAATTAAAGTATTTTCTCAAGATGGAGTTCGCAAGGTAAAAAGAGGTAATCTTTCTCAACCAATGCAAATATATACTTGATTTACTCACAAAAACAGGGATGACAGGGTGTAAGGAAGTAGAAACACTAATGGATCCTAATGTAAAATTGAAGGCAGCATCTGAAGATGAAGCGGTAGATAGAGAATGGTACCAACGATTGGTCGATATACTAATTTATTTGTCTCATACAAGGCCTGATATAGCCTTTGCACTAAGTGTGATAAGTCAGTTTATGCATGCACCATGACCTACTCATTTTAAAGCTATTTTTAGAATATTGAGATATTTGAAAGGAACTCCAGCGAAAGGATTCAAAAGCAAAAGGCATATACAAGTGGAAGCTTACACATAAGCTGATTGGACATGTAATATAAATGACATGTGGTCTACTTCAGGGTATTGTACTTTTATAGGAGGAAACTTAGTTACACGGAGAAATAAAAAACAAAATGTTTTAGCTAGGAGCAGTGTAGAGGCTGAATTTTGCTCTGTGGCCCATGGTTTTTGTGAAGTAGTATGGATTAAAAAGTTCAATGAAGAATAGAAGGTTTCCAGCCCAACACCAATAAAAATTTACTGCGATATTAAGGCAGCTATGTCCGTTGCCCATAATTCTGTCCTACACGAAATAACAAAACATGTTGAAGTGGACAAGTAATTCATTAAAGAAAAAAATGATAGTGGTGAAATTTGTATGTCCTTTGTACCTACCACAAGTCAAGTAGCAAATTTATCACAAAAAGTCTTCCAAAGATACAGTTTGATGATATGCTGAGCAAGCTTGAAATGAACGACGCATTCATGCCAACTTGAGAAGGGGAGGGGGGTTTGGAAGGTATTAGGTGTCTTCTTTTGTCTTTACCATATTTAGAATTAGCATTTACAAGAAGAATAATTACCCTAATTCTCAGACCATATTAGTGCTTATTATGCTAACCCATTTGTTATATAAATACCTTCCATGTATTATTTATTGAGATATTAAAGAAATACAAATTGTTTATTCCTTTAAAACCATTTGTATCCATCAATATAAATATATTGAAGATTTGATTTCTCTGGTGGGTATTATTCCAACCACTTTAGTGGATACTTATTTTAAGGTTAATGTTAAATATTATCGTTGTCATACCCTAATTTTTATTCCTAAGATGCCACCTTATTTATATAATTTGCATAAAATTAATCATTACATGTGTGTGTGTGTGTGTGTGTGTGTGTGTGTGTGTGCGCGTGCGTGCACGCGTGTGTGTGTGTGTGTGTGTGTGTGTGTACGTGCGTGTGCGTATGCGCGCGTGCGTGCGTGTGCGTGTGCGTGTGCGTGTGCGTGCGTGCGTGTGCGTGTGCGTGTGCGTGTGCAAAATTACATCTCAAGTTCAACATCTCAGTCCCTATATCATTCATGAAGATCAAGATCTTTCACTCATTAATAATCAAGTGCAAAATTACATCATGAACAAGCTCATCAAAGCTCAAGACCCTCAGTTCACCATAATTAGGGTTTAACCTAATTCATTCCCTAAGTTGACTTTTAAAGCAAGACATGATCCCAAACCTCAAAATATGTTTCAAAGACCTCAAATGACTTATATTAATCCATTCATATGATTGGATTAACCTAAAGAACTTGATTCATAAGCAATGCAATAAGTTAAATTCATCTAGTCCCCAAAACTAGGGTTTTCAATGAAAAGTCAACTGTACCTTTGACTTTTGACTAAGACATGATCTCAAGCCTTGGAACATGATTCAAGACACTCAAAAACATATTTGGAGTCCATCCATAGTGTTCAAAAAGCCCAAGGGTTTGATTTCATAAAGGATCACAAAGTTCAAAGTTCATCTGATACAAAAGTCAACTGTGGTCAAAATCAAGTTTGACTTTTAGAGTTTTGGGTCAAACATAACCTCTTCAAGTCAAGAATGATGTTAATATGTGATTTGGATCATGATTGATCAAAAAAATTTAAGAAATATGAAGTTACTTGTAAAAAGGGCAACATTGGAGAAGTTGAATTTTTTCTAAGTTATAAAATTCAATGATTTTTGCCCTACTTTCCAAGGCCATAACTTTCAAACCATTTTCTTTAATCCAAAGATCAAATTGAAGAGCTTGTTACGTGTCCTTGAGGGTGGATTCCAAAAAAAAATGCATAGATTGATAGATATGAAGCTATGAAGTTGGAAGTTCCATGCTTTTTGAAACTAAACACTTAGTGAAATTTTAGACAGAGTCTGTCTTATGTTGAAGCCAGCTTTAGAGTTATTTTTCACTATGATCCGTATTGATTCAAGACAAACCTTAAATATCAAAGTTAAAGTATGTTATCTCGGCTTTTTAAAATAACCAAGAACATCAAAATACTTTACTTTTACTTGAGCTAGAAGTTATGAATGTTGCTGCAACAAGCCTGGTTGCAACTGAAGTTCCAAGGCAGATTTGTTGCATAATCTTAGTACACGATTTTGGAGCACTTGTTGTACACATTGGTGGCCAACGGAAGATGGTGAGAGGTTCAGTTTCGCAATTCTCTGCCGGAATCCGTGCTCACCGGAGAAGAGGAAGTCTTGGAGAGAGAGAAAACGTTAACATACACACGATGCACCGCCGTAACTTAATACATATACTATCCAAATCTGACGGTTCAGAATCAATTTATAAAATCGACCTTTCTTCTACAAGCGTGCGTATATCTTCGTTGCACTTTATATTTCTAATCGCACTTCATTATTTCTATTATCATTTTATTCAACTGTTAAACAATTCCAAATTGAATATACGAGTTGAAAAAAAAATTAGTAGTTTTTTTTATCGTTCTAAGAAATAATTACTGTATTCAAATGATTGTATTTTTAGTTAATGAAAATGTGGTTAAAAATGAAATATTATTGATGTAAATAAAACAAAGAAAACCCAAAATTAAACTATGAACCTTCTAAAGAGAGGGTTTGTGATTGTAGTTGAATAAACATGGAGGAGCGACTGACTTTATCTTTCCTTTTTTGGGCACTTTTTGTGCTTCATTTTCTGCTTAAAGCTTCATCCAATCCAGAAGGTCACTGCTTACTTTTCTTTTCTCTCTATTAACCTTTAATTGTTGTTAATGAACTTGAAAATCTAACAAGAATATTAAGGATATTTGCAATTGAAGATTGGTTCTTTTTACTAGAACAGGCGATGCACTGAGTATATTGAAGATTAACTTGAAGGATCCTAATAATGTTCTTCAAAATTGGGATGCTACCCTACCCAATCCCTGCACATGGTTTCATGTTTCATGCAATGAAGACAACAGCGTGATCGCCGTGTAACTCAATATGTCACTTTTACTTGTAATTTTTATGAATGCTTGGCCCATAGTCAATCATTATTTTAATTTTTATTGTTGCATTTGGACAGTGATCTTGGAAATCAGGACCTTTCTGGTACACTGGTTTCAAGCCTTGGCCATCTCTCCAATTTGCAGTACTTGTAAGTTATGAGCCATATGTGATTTTGTTCACTAAATTTGACTGTTTCTGAAGCTAGTATAATTAGCCTAGCTTCTCATTTTCACGAAAATTCGGCCCCTGTATTCATCCTCACAAATAACCAAACATACCATTAGTTTTGCAAATTAAGGAAATAAAGGCAATCGATTGATAAATCAGCATAGCATTTTGAACTGATCATTTAATTCATCGACCTATACATTTTAGATTGCATTTTTCTTTTTTGTTACTGTTTCAAAACTCAATTGCTTGCTGCCCCATCCCTGTTTGACTGTACAAAGTATGAATGTCTATACTGCACCCACATCTTTTATGGCTGAAAATTGAATCATGGAAACTTATGGTATCTTCATAAACCTTACTTGATAATGATATTATCTGCTTTTTAAAGACGGTTATCTTCACAAGCAAAGATTATAATTTTTACTATAACAGGCCATCTATTTCGGTTTGTCTGATGGAGAGTTAACAATATATCAGTTTCATACAAATTATGTGAATGTGATTTGTTACCTTTCAATTATTTGTTGGACTTTCTTGTTTGCACAAGTATGATCTTTCTTCCTTTTTCATTGGCAGGGAACTTTATAATAATAGCATAACAGGTAAGATCCCAAAAGAATTAGGAAATTTGGCAAACTTGGTGAGCTTGGATCTTTACTTGAACAATATAAGTGGTACTATACCCGATACATTGGGAAAACTTCAAAAACTACGTTTCCTGTGAGACATACTTTCGTTATTCTCTCATATCTTTGACTTGCAAAATTTATTTGTATTTGTTTCAATTGTTGTACGTCCTTTACCTTGTTCAACATCCTTTTTTTGTGTTTCCTGATGCAAAATGTGGTAGATTTTGTAGCCTCTATAACATGACTTAATCAACAAAGCTGCAATAAACAAAAATGAATGCCTAAAAAAGTAGTCTTGTTTGTTTCCATTATTGCTGCTACGGGTTATTATGTCAGTTTTTTTTTTTGAAATCTTGGTATCCGGCCTTGCGGGTTATTATGCAGTGATGCGATAGTTTAATTATATGCCAATTGAATGAAATATTTTAGGTATTTCTAATAATTAGTAAATATGAAATTGTATTTTGTGTCAACTAATAATGAGGGTTTTCCACCCTTGAATCAGATGAAAGAAATCTTAACAATATATGTTACATGTTTTGATCATCTCGATCTGTGTCTATCAAAGATGTTACCAATTCAACGTAATACTTGTTTATCAAATTGGATCCTCTCCTTCAAATACTTCGTTCCAACTATCTCTTCCACTAATTTATCTCTATCTCTCTTACATTTTCTCTCTCCTTTCAAACATGTTTTGATTGAAGGCAGTGATCCAAATCTTTTATATAAACACTAAAGGTCTAATACAATGGACACTAATGCTGTCTATTTATCGTCGTAATAAAGACCCTTGTATGAAAACTTATAATATAAAGAAAAGGTTAAAAACATGGTGAGCTCTGCTAGGGGTTTTTTATGTGTTAGACCTCCCATTAAGGAATATTATAGAAGGGGCTGAGAAGACCAAAACTGACATTGGTCAGTTTGTGGCAGTTATGTTGTATTAATTAATTGTATGTCAATTATGTTGGCTGTTAGTAAGAATAAAAAGAAAGGTGACAGGGCGTAGTTGGTTATCAGGGAGTTATTGAGTGGTTATTTGGGTGGGTGAGAACCAAGCTCTTGAAACTTGGTAGAAACAGTGGCAATAGTGTGTGTATGAATTCCATCTCTGTTTGAGAAGAAGATGCATACTGGTGGGTCTTATGCATTGAGGAACATTTATGGACATCATCATCAGGTTAGTTTAAGTAAGCTTTTGCTTGCATTTCTTTGATGTTTTAAGTCTGAATATAGAGACGTCTTGCCTATATCCCATGAGGAAGAGTAGCCTGCTATGGAATCAGAGTCTTTAACAACTAAGGGTTTGTGCAATCTTTAACAAGGGTCTAACCAAGGGAAACATGTTCCAGAAATGAGATACTAGAAGAGAAGGAAAAAATCAAATTGTAATATGAAAGGAATGAAAGGTCCATTACAGAATCGATGGAAGGGGGTTGGATCATAAGAGAAATATCAGAGGTAGAAGGGAAAATGAAGGTTATCGATGAAGAGGAGAAGAAAAGATCAAGTGAGAATTCTTGTGGGTTTTCTGTCAAGGTGGGGGCTTGTAATATTTTTTATGCAGAGTTGTGGGGATCTATTATGGCCTTTAAATCTCTTGGAGTAGAAGGTTTAGAATTATTAAGGTACATACTAACTCCCGAACAGATGTTTCCTTCTTAACAAATGGTGTTGTCGATCCCATGCATCTTATGCTCTAGTTGCAAAAATCTACCACATTCTCAACGGTCAAGGTAGTATTTGTTGGATACATATACTCTTGGTAGCCAATCAAGTGGTGGATGCATTAGCCAAACATGAGTTTTCGGTGGAGGCTTTTTCTGATTAAAATTGAGCAGGATGTCCAGTGGATCGGAAGTCTACCACAAGATATTGTTTTTTCTTTGGAGGTGATATGATATCCTGAAAAAGTAAAAAACAAAATGTGGTAGCAAGATCAAGTGCAGAAGCAAAACACTATGGGTAAGACAAATCTCGGATGAGATGAGATTTGAGAATAAGTGTCCTATGAAATTGTGGTGTGATAACCCAACTACCATACATATTACATAAAATCTGGTCTTTTATGAAAGAACAAAACACATTGAGGTAAACTTTCACTTTATCAGAGATAGAAGCTTTAAGAAAATTTCATATCTACTTCCTATGTTATGATAAAAGATCAACCAGTAGATTTGTTTACAAAGGCATTGATGGGATGCATAGTGATTTCATTTGTAACAAGCTGAACATGATTAATTAATATGCATGCTCCATATTGAGGGGGGAGTATTAAGATTTATATTATAATAATAAATTACTAGGATTTAGTATTAAGTATACGAGCTTGGCCCTTTTGTCTTTGTTATGTATTACTCTTTTAACCTATTAATATAAATATGAAGGTCACTACAATACATATTGAAACACTGAATGTGGCTTTTGTCTGGCTTTCGACCACCACCTCTTCCTTTACCCGCAGCACCACCTCTTTGATTGATTATTTTCTTTCTACAAAAAGGAATAGGCTAGTTACCTAATAGAATTTTTTAATGAATTAGTTATGCCTTGAGTGAGATATAATTTTCATTTTTGACAGTTTCACTTTGCATAGTAGAATTTTTTTATCTACCTATTTTTTAACACATTTGATAACTAGTTGCCTATCATGATTTATTACTCAAAAACAGGCGTCTAAATAATAACACTTTGAGCGGCCACATTCCTGTGTCTTTGACAAATATTTCAACGCTGCAAGTTATGTGAGTGTTACTCCTTTATTCAGATTTGCCATTAGTTATAGTCAAAGTAGTTTCTTTTAAAGAATCCAAACCAGATTTTTATTTACACTAGAATCATATATTTCCATGTGTAAATTGACACAACGGCCATCTTGGAGTACAGTGATCTCTCAAACAACAATCTAGAAGGGGATGTTCCAGTGAATGGTTCATTTTCATCATTTACCTCTGTCAAGTCAGTACAAATAACTGTGTTCATATCTTTGTCTAATTGTCACAGATGACATGAAATTTGCTAATGCCATGCGTTCCAATTTACAGTTATCAAAATAATCCTCACTTGCAACTACCAATAATCATTCCTGTGCCACCTTCTCCACCATCACCAGCTTCTTCAGGTTTGACAATGTCTGTTTATTTTGTTGACAATGATTTTGAATTAGTAAAGAATAACTTGAATCGAAAGCTTTAATTAAGAACATAGCTCAAGCTTGCTCAAAATTCTCTAGAATTGAAACCAAACTCAACTAAAACAATAACCAAATGAGGTCAACTTCATATTGATGACATTACCTATTGGAAATTCCACCTTCATTGCGGTCCGCCTCTAGTCGCCTAATTGCGACATTTGATTTGACTTCATTGAATCATCCAACACCTTCATTGTGCTAGATGTGAAGGGATGGATTTAGTCCCACATTGCTTTGAGATATGGTCTATGTACTGTTTGTAAAGCGGCTACCTCACCTTACAAGCTAGTTTAGTAGGGATTAGTTAGCTCCAACCCAAAAAATTAAAGATTACCTAAAAGTTTGAGTTATTTGAGGCCATCACAATGTCAAACAAGTATTATACTTTTCGTATACTTTGTCATTGTTTTGGATCTGCCTTTATCATTGCTCTTACTTACCATTATTGCCGTTGTTTTGATAATTAATAGTTATTGGCTATATGGCTTTTTCCACATGTTTATTCCATAATTATGGAAAAGGATGGTGTGCCTCATGATTAAATTTTAGAGGAAAACATAGTTGTATTGAACATTATCCTTTTGTTTTCCAATCAGTCACAATCTATTTTCAAATAGAGTTATACTTTTAAATTAAACTGTAAATCCTTTTTTCAGGTAGTGAAAATGTTGGAGCTATTGTAGGAGGAGTTGCTGCTGGTGCTGCTCTGCTGTTTGCTGCCCCTGCAATCGCACTTGCTTATTGGAGAAAAAGAAAACCACTCAATCATTTCTTTGACGTTCCTGGTTAGTTAAATAACAGAATATATGGTATGCATGCTCATAATTGCTATATTCTATAGTTGTTAATTACAGATGAACCAACATTTAGCCTGTCTTTTACCACGGCAGGTGAGGAGAATCCCGAAGTTCACCTTGGTCTGTGTAAGAGGTTTTCCTTGCGTGAGCTGCTAGTAGCGACAGATAACTTCAATAACAATAACATTATAGGCAGAGGTGGATTCGGAAAGGTTTATAAAGGCCGCTTAGCTGATGGGACCCTTGTAGCAGTAAAAAGACTTAAACAGGAACGGACACGTGGTGGGGAGATGCAATTTCAAAGAGAAGTCGAAATGATCAGTATGGCTGTGCATCGCAATTTGCTCCGGCTACGTGGTTTTTGCATGACATCTTCTGAAAATTTGCTTGTGTATCCTTATTTGGCAAATGGAAGTGTAGCATCACATTTAGGAGGTGCTCTATCTTTTCACTCATATATCCTTATTTTGATTTGTTATTGAAAAAAGTAACAATTAGTATTTCCGAGATATTGGCAACTACACAAACACAAAAACATGGAAATTCTTAAATAGTTCAAATTTTTAAAATGCAATGAGTGCTCTTACAGTTGAATTTCAAAATTTCCAGTTTCAAACTAATACTGTGTTATGTATATTGATTATGTTGTTATAGACCGTAATGAATCTGATCTGCCGCTTGAGTGGCCAATGCGGAAGAATATTGCGCTGGGATCTGCCAAGGGGCTTGCTTACTTGCATGATCATTGTGACCCTAAGATTATTCATCGTGATGTGAAAGCTGCAAATATATTGTTGGATGAGGATTTCGAAGCAGTTGTTGGAGATTTTGGTTTAGCAAAGCTTATGGATTATAAAGATACCCATGTTACTACAGCTGTCCGTGGTACGATTGGGCATATAGCACCGGAGTACCTGTCAACTGGAAAGTCTTCAGAAAAGACGGATGTTTTTGGATATGGTCTGATGCTTCTTGAACTAATAACTGGACAGAGGGCTTTCGATCTAGCACGTCTTGCCAATGGTGATGGTGATGTGATGTTGCTTGATTGGGTATGTTTTTAATTTAACTTAAATATATCATTATTACTTGAACAATTTTATTAACCGTCACATGCATTAATCTCTTCACAATGATCTATATGCTATATTAGAATTTGGATTAACTCAATCCTTATGATACTCTTGCAAAAACAGATTGTAGAGTGATGCATAACTCCCAATTAATAAGTCATTTTTCAGGTTTTATCTCATCCGATATGGAAATCTTAACAAACTCTTCTCATGTTTGTGATTTGACATTCGGAGAGTGACCCAAGTGGTCAATATCTGATAGCCCAATAGAATTAGATTGACTTTGGTACCAACGTGAGAATAGCCCAATGAGCCATTTTTTGTCTATTGGCTTCTTGCACAATGAGGAGTTCTTATTCTTTTTCTTGCTACATATTCCTAACTAGAGTTTTTGTTACCCTATTTAGGTCATTCTTGCATTGCATAGGCTATAAAGTAATATCAACGCCAATGCTTTTTTCGTTGTTCAGGTTAAAGGACTTCTCAAAGACAAGAAGTGGGAAACACTCGTAGATGCAGAGTTAAGGGGAAATTATGATGTTGATGAAGTAGAGCAGTTAATCCACGTGGCTTTACTATGCACAGAAGAGTCTTCTATGAAAAGACCAAAGATGTTTGAGGTGGTGAGAATGCTAGAAGGGGATGGTTTGGCAGAAAAATGGAAGCAATGGGAGAAAGAAGAGAGAAATCGACAAGAATTTAACAATATCGATATGCATCACCCTAATGCAAATTGGATAGTACTTCCTCCGTCCCGCAATGAATGATCCATTTAAAATAAAAGTGTTCTAAAATAAATGATGCATTTTAATTTTCAATGCACTTTTTCCAATTCTACCCCCTCATTAATATTATTTTCATCATTCTCAATATTTGATAAGGGTTATTTTAGTAAAAACATCATTCTCTCCCTATTTATTTAATTTTTTTAATCTGTGTAAAATTATCAATTGAGTCACTTAGTGTGAGACAGAGAAAGTTATAGATTCAACTTTATATATCCAGCTAGATGAAAGATCCTAGCTGATCCTTTCTGCCAAATGAAGTCTAAGGTCCGTGTTGATTCTTTTGAAGATTCTATCATATCAACAAGTGAGTAAACAACTGTAGTCTATCTAAAAAAGATAAACAACTTCATGATTTGTACATATGATTTTCCCCATCTCTTTTGCTTAGTCTTTCAAATAATAATAATGCATTGTATTTCAGTTTTTTTTCTTCTTAGGACTTGGAAATGAGTAGTATCTGACGGGGTTGCTATGATTTTGTCTTTGTAACCGTTGGAATTGGACTTTCTCTGCAAATATATGTTTGAGAGAGAATGGAATCCACTTTTCAAGTTGACTTTGGAATCTATCAATAGCTCGTGCTTGTGCCCAAATTAGAGAGAATGGAATCCACTAACTATTACCGATAAGCTCGTGCTTGTGCCCAAATTAATTAATCATTTCAATAGCTAATGCGATTATGACACAAGCAATATTTTAGGATGAAATGAAATAGAGTTAGTGTGCTAGCTGTCTCATATTAATACCAAATAATTGCTGTCAACTATGGTCCAGGCGTGAACAAAGGAATAACATTTTGTGTAACTCAATCTTACGAGATGTGCTTAACGTGCCTCTTGGATATATTTGCATACTGCAGTTCATACCAAACACATCAGAATTTTTTTGTCATGAGTTCCTTTATAGTACTAGAGCGCCACTGGTTTCACTTGAAATTTTGAGACGAAGTCTGATCATAAAGATGTATCTGATTGTGAAAAAGATGTTTCTAAAGAGATGATCCACAAGACGGTGAAGAAAACTCCATAACATTTGAATTCCAATGACAATCTAGAAAACTTGATAACTCTAGTGCGATTTTGAGGGGAGAACTACAAAGAATGGGTGTGTGCCATGAAAATATCATTGCGTGCTCTAAAAAAATGAGGTTCTATAGAAGACACCATTGAATCACTAGAGAAAACTCACCTAGAAGTGAAGACTCGTGGGCTTTTCGAACACGAGGAAGCATTTTCAACTTGCTGTGCGCACAAGTGTTGTACACGTCATGAAGACCAAGTGCATGTTAAATATAATTCATTGTGATTTGATATGATTAGATTTGATATCATATGATTAGATTTGATTTAGAATATTTTGGGCCTTTTATGTTTTGGGCTAGTGTAAACCTAAAACTATAAATAGGGTGCCTTTCTTTGTATTCTACATTACAACAGAACAGATTTCACAGTTGCAGTTAGCAAGTGAAAGTTCAATAAGAAATCCCACAGTTGTGGGTAACACATTCTCTCCAAATACTTCTTCTCTCATTCTTCTCTTTCTTGTTTGTTATTCTTCTTCTCTTTTGTTGTTCTTGATAATTACTTGTTATTACCATCATTATCATATTGTGGGTTTGTTCATCAATCTTGAGATCAAGATTGAAGGAAATTCTTCATAGGGTGTGAGGTGAATTTCCAACATCTGGTATCTAGAGCTCCGGTTGAGAGATTCAAGGAAGGAAAATAGTGATGGCGATGAACTATCCGAGCGACAACTTTCCGGCGACCCTGCCAATTCTCAAGAAAGACAATTATGAGAATTGGTGCAAGCAGATTAAGGTGATTTTCTGTTATCAAGATCTTCAGGATCTTGTGAAGGACGGAGTAACATCGCTTGGGGAGAACGCAACGGAGGCGGAAAAGGCTGCGCACAAAGAATTGAAGAAGAAGGATTATAAAGCACTCTTTATAATTCATCAGTGTGTCGATCCTGATAACTTTGAAAAGGTTAGTGATGTTGATTCAGCAAAAGAAGCATGAGAGATTCTTGAAAAGTCGTTAAGAGGCGCAGAGAAGGTGAAAGAGGTGAGGTTACAAACTCACAAGAGAACCTATGAGTTGCTTCAGATGGAAGACAACGAAAGCATTACAGATTTCTTCACCAGAGTTACAAAGTTGGTGAATCAAATCAAAATTTGTGGAGAAGCGCTGACGACGAAAGCAGTTGTCTCAAAGATTTTGAGATCGCTGGCTCCAAAATTCGACCACGTGGTAGTTGCCATAGAAGAGTCGAAAAATCTATCAGTGTTGACGAAGGAAGAGCTTCAAGGGACTCTTGAGTCTCATGAACAGAGGATGGCTGAGAGAGCTGCAGGAAAGTCGAAAGACATGGCTTTGCAGGCGCAGCCAGAAAAAGAAAGAAAAAGCAAAGGTAGCTGGAATGGCAACAAAGGAGGAAACCAATCGAATCAGAAGAAACCTTGGAACCAAGGCAACCAAAGAGGTGGTGCTGCAGGTAAAGGAAGAGGTGGCGGTCGAAAGCCAGACAAAAGCCACATTCAGTGTTTCAATTGCCAGAAGTATGATCATTATGCTAGTGATTGTCCAGAAAGGAAGAGAAAACAAGAGACTGATGCAAAGCTGGCGAAACATGAAGAAGAAGAAACATTGCTAATGGTCACAACAAAAGATGAAGAAAGATTCCAAGATCAGTGGTACTTGGACTCAGGATGCTCATCACACATGACTGGAAGGAAAGATTGGTTTGTCAACATGAAGCCCTCGTCGAAGAACACCGTGAAGTTTGCAAATGACAACACTCTAGCAGCCGAAGGTGTTGGTGATGTTCTGATTATGAGGAAAGATGGCAAGAGGTCAACAATTTCCAATGTGTTGTACATACCAGGCATGAAGAGTAATTTGCTCAGCATAGGGCAGCTTGTCGAAAAGAACTACAAGGTAGTTGTCGAAGACAAGATGATGAGAGTTCTCGACGCAGGTGGTAGACTAATCTTGAAGGCTCTAATGTCTCAGAATAGGACCTTCAAGATTGGACCCAATGTGATGGACCACAAATGTCTAGCAACTGCAGCCAGCAGGGATGAGTGATTATGGCATTTTCGACTAGGTCATCTCAACTTTAAAGACATCAGAGAACTGAAGAGAAGAAATATAGTTTCAGGATTACCAGAAATCGACATTCCAAGTGAAGTCTGTGAAGAGTGTGTTCAGTCGAAACAACACAAGAATAGCTTCAACAAGGATGCAGGAAGGAAGTCGAAGGCAATACTTGAAGTCATATACTCTGATGTATGTGGTCCAATCCAGGTGGATTTGATTGGTGGCAATAGATACTTTGTCACGTTTATAGATGATTACAGTCGAAAGCTGTGGACTTACCTCATCAAGAAGAAAAGTGATGTGATTGAGGTATTTTCCAGATTCAAGTCCATGGTCGAAAGACAGAGTGGTCGAAAGCTGAAAATTCTGAGGACTCATGGTGGTGGAGAGTATGTGTCGAAAGAGTTCGATACACTATGTGTAAAAGAAGGGATTGTGCATGAGGTGGTGCCACCTTACACTCCACAGCAAAATGGGATTGCAGAACGCAAGAACAGAACCATCATGAATATGGTGAGAAGTATGTTGAATGGAAAGCATCTACCTAAAGAATTATGGGGAGAAGCAGTTTCGACAGCAACATATATATTGAACAGATGCCCGACGAAGAAGCTTGAAGGAATCACACCAGAAGAATGTTGGTCTGGTGTCAAGCCTAGTCTCAGTCACTTGAAGGTGTTTGGATCTATAGCACATAGACATGTGCCAGATCAGTTGACAAGGAAGCTTGATGATAAGTCGAATCAAATGATCTTGATAGGATATCATTCGACAGGAGGTTACAAGTTGTTCGACCCAATGAATAAGCAGGTAGTGATCAGCAGGGACGTGATCATAGATGAGCTTAAAGAATGGGATTAGACTGAGAATGCCAAGAAGGATTCATTGAGAATCTCTTGTGAAGAACCAGCCACTGAAGTCGAAATAGAAGCTCGACTAGAACCAGTTGCAGATGAAGCAGGTTCAAGCCGACCTCGACGAACAAGACACATGCCTGTAAGGTTGCAAGAATGTGTAATTACATCAAATGATGTCGATGAAGAGGGTGAGTTGATACATTATGCTTTCTACGCAGATGTCGAACCAGTCAATGTAGCTGAGGCATTGAAAGATTCGAAGTGGATGAAAGCAATGATTGAAGAGTTGGAGTCCATCGAAGTCAATGATACCTGGTCACTTGTCGAATTGCCACAAGGCAAGAAGGCAATTGATGTGAAGTGGGTTTACAAGGTAAAGGTAAATCCTAAAGGAGAAGTAACTCGACACAAGGCGAGACTTGTGGCGAAAGGATTTCTTCAGAAGGAAGAAATCGACTTCAATGAAGTATTCGCACCTGTTGCTAGAATCGAAACAATCAGGTTGGTTGTTGGTCTAGCAAATATGAACAACTGGCACACATGTCAGATGGACGTGAAATGTGCATTCCTTAATGGCCCCTTAGAAGAAGAAGTTTATGTTGTACAACCAGCTGGGTTTGTGAAACAAGGCGAAGAAAGAAAGGTGTACAGGCTTCATAAAACCCTGTATGGACTTAAGCAAACTCCAAGAGCTTGGAATAAGAAAATTGACAGCTTCTTAAGGGAGAAGGAATTTGTGAAGTGTACAACTGAGCATGGAGTATATGTAAGAAGAAGCAATGGCGAATTGCTTATACTATGTCTCTATGTTGATGATCTGTTGATAACAGGGAGTTCCAAGAAGGAGATCGAAGATTTCAAACATGACCTGAGTAAGGAGTTTGAAATGTCAGACTTGGGAAATCTCTCATATTTCCTTGGCATCGAATTCTACAAGACAAGTAGAGGTTTGATGATGCACCAAAGAAGATATGCAGGCGAGATACTCAAGAGATTTGAGATGCAAGATTGCAACCAAACT